CGAGAGGCGAAATACAAATACTAAAAAAACAACAACAAAAAAACAAAACAAAAATATCAATAGAGCGAACTCACCTAGCTACGATTAGATCGTGCATAGTTGAAAGGGGACGCCCGTTGAATGTGTACCTCATGACTGAATGGAATGAAAGCTGAAGGGCAAGGGTATATAGAGCTCAGAAACGAAATGGAGAAGGCACGTATGGGTGGTGGCAATAAATAAGGAGCACAAGACAAGAACTAAAACGTGAAGGTTAAGTATTCAAATCTACATAGAAAGAACAAAAGAGGAAATGAAGTGAGAATGTCAAATAACATATGCAACTACAAGGTGATAAGGATGCGACGGAAGGAAAAGGACGATGAGGAACTAAAGAACGCATGCAGGCTTATAAACGACTTAAAGCTTAAGTACTTGAAACAAGTCTAGAACCTAACCTTTAAAAACCTGGATCCTTTAAAATGACCAAGAATTGAGTAAACGACTACGATACGATAATAAGAAATGATAGGCTAGCTCTTAATCTCCTAACTTAGTTCTATACAGGCTAGCTCTTAATCACCTAACTTAGGTTGATCTCACCTTGCATCTGCAGGTGGAGTAGCGTGACTGGCGGGGGTGGTTCAACTAGCGAGGGAGAAAGGAAAGGGTTGAACTAACCCTAATGCAATGCCAAATTCGTCGCAAAATAAACGGTCCTGTAAAATACGTTACGCTCATTAAGCAGCAGCGTTTTCCCAGTCGGTTGAAACTTTGCTGAGAATCGAAAGGTCGAGGGTTCGATTCCAACTCCAGGACAGGTTCGAACTTTTTAGGAAAGATGATGCACCACTTTGTACCACGCTACTATGGTTTCATACTACACTACAATGAGAAAGTTTCATACCAATTTGCTTCGCAACCCTAGGACGACCTAGTCGCCTCTTGTTTTTTTTTTTAAATGATTGATAATATACACCGGTACAGCAAGCATATATCATCAAACGGTCGTAACCGTGCGTGAGGGACAGCAGCCCATCTATTGTTCCAGGTGAAAAACTGCCTAGGGCGAGATGTTGCATGCCCTTCGCGTGGACCATAGCGCAGCAAAGGCAGGCCTCCATGTCCAGCTCCTGCCATCCATCTTGATCTTGCTCAGCATTTTCTGCTCTTCCACAAAATTTTCCCGGAGCCGCTTCTTCTGTGATGCCCCCATTTTTTGCATGTATATCTTCGCGTGTAGCCTGAAAGCAGCCTCCGCCTTCCACAATACCCGTTTGGTCCGGAATTTTTGCCCTCGAAATACTGCATCGCACCTTTCCACCCAGATTTGGTGGAGGACCACCGACGTGAGAGTCAGCTCTGGGAAAGCTGACCTGGTACCCGTTTTCCGGAACAGAATATCTCCCAGCGAGGCAGTTGGGCGGCAGGGGTTCAGCATGCGTAGAGCGCGCCGAAGTGCCGAGGTCACTGCTTGTATCCTGGGGCACAGGATAAGGCAGTGTTCCAGCGTCTCCTGTTCACCACAGTATGGGCATGCGGGCTTGCTGCTGAGGAAAGCCAGTCTTTCCCCCACCTGCAGATTCAAGCCGTGGATGCGGATGAAAACATCCCGTGGACGGCTGGGAACAGCCAAGGAGTCCCGAGTCATCACAACCCGCTTCCAATCAATGTGATGCCCCCACCGCACACCCCACTTCTGCTGCTTGTATGATTGGCTGGTCGTCCCCTTCCATCCATCCTTCATCCGCCTCATGGAAACCACTCTTCCTCCTTCCAGGATTGGGACGCGCAGAGGAGAGCCAGCCGAGCGTGGAGGTGCTGTAGGGAAACCCAGAAGTTTTTGCCAGTGAGACGGGGATGCTAGCAGCGCTTTCATCGCTAGCTTGGCCGGCCCGTTACCACCCAGCTCCTGCTTCAGAACCGCCATGGATTTTACCACCGCAACTCCATCTTCCTCCCCTTCCAGTAAATCACCAATACGTGTGTGTTTCAGACTCTGAGCTTCTTTCTGCCCCCCGACCGGGGTGGTGCCGTTGAGTAAGATGTCCTTATTGAAACACAGCCTCTCCTGTAGAACCTCCTCCCTGCTGCCCACCAAACTTCTGACCGAAAAGGGCGACCGCATAAAGCTCTCCGCCGTCTGTTTCCACCGTAAACTGCCGCTGCCCCAGTGTTTGAGCAGTTTCTCATGCGCGGTGAAGCAGTCAAACCCCAACGGAAGCTGCGCCGCGCACTCGATCAGGTCCCGTTTGAGCGGGTCCTGTTCCGTGAGGAACAGGCCAACTCTCCTTGTCGCCAAGCATGTGATAAGGATTTCCGGGTCTCTGACCCCGATCCCTCCGTCCAGCCTCGGGGTGTAAAGCAGCTCCCTACTCCAGAGGATGAAGCTTTTTGCCGTTGCAACCCTGTTTCCTGATGTGAAGCTGTGCAGTAGACGCATGATCTCCAGCCAGATAATTGCCGGCGGCGGGTAGATTTGCGCTTGAAACGCCAGGATTGGCGTGATGTAGTAATTGACCACTGTTGCCCTTGCTGTGATTGTCAGGTATTTTAACTGCCATTTGGTCAGCTTCTCCGATACACGGCTCCATGTCTTCTCCCATGTTGGCAGACCGTTGCCAAACGGCGTCACCCACACCCCCAGTAACCGCTCTGCTTCGTCCGCACCGGCCCATTTGAAGCCACCAGCTCCATCATCCGTCGCTCCAATATTATCCCCCAGAGGTAAGACCACCGATTTCGACTTGTTCGACGCCTTCTCAAAACGATCCAGCAATACCTCCGCTTGACCGATCTGCTCCCTTCCTTGCAGGACAAGCGTCGTATCATCCGCGTAACCGAGATACCCGAGCCGGTGCCCTTCTTTCTCAAGACCGAGCCCCCGCCTCTCCACTTCAAGGGCCAACGGTTCCACCGCGCACAGAAACAAATATGGCGCCAAGGGACAACCCTGCCGGACCCCAGAAACCACGTCCACACCATCGCCGAGCCAGCCATTAATGAGAAGTTTGGTTGTTGTTCCCTCGTGCAGGCCTTTAACCCAGCCAACAAGCCGCTCTGGGAAGCCCATCTTCTCCAGCACGCTGAAAAGGAACTCCCTCGAGACCGAATCAAATGCTTTCTGGAAGTCAACCAGAAGCAGGTACCAATCCTTCTTCCCGTTTTTCGCGCCTTCGATGATATCCGCGACCAGCGCGACTGCATCCGACAGACGTCGACCAGGGATAAAGCCGTACTGCTCCGGTGAGATAACCATGTGCAACACCGATTTCATACGATCTGCTACCACCCGCGCTAGAACTTTGTAGGTGAAATTCAGCAGAGTGATCGGGCGGTAATTATTGAGCTGCTCCTTGTCTCCCTTCTTGTGCAGCAAAATCGTTACCGCTTCCTTCACTTCGACCGGCAGAGAAGCGCTGCTCTCGAAGCTCTTCGCCATCACCATGAAGCTCTCCCCCAACAGGTCCCAGTGAGCCTCAAACAGCTCCTTCGGCAGACCATCACTTCCAGGTGATTTGTTCCTCGCCATTGCCGCGAAGGCCTTCTTCACCTCCTGTTCTGACCAATCTGCTGTCAGTGTTTCAGCCACCCTTTCATCCAGCCGGCGAGCTGGGTTAAAACTCCATTCTGCTCCCTCGACCCGACGATCAGCCCCGAAGATATTCCTGAAGTAACTCGACGCCGCCTGCAGGATTTCTTTGGAGCCAGTGATCGACATCGCGCCGTCTTTCAGCTCCGAGATTTGAGTGCGCACCTTCCGCGCTTGCACCTTCGCTGAGAGATGCTTCGAGGCGATCTCTCCTGTCATCTCCACCATGGAACCCGCTTGAAGGTGCAGACGCTCCTTTCTGGACGCTTGATACATTTTCAGCTGACTCTCCTTCAACTTCAACAACTCCTTCGTTCTGGTGCAGAGAGGGTCACCCATCAGCTTCTGCGTCAGGATCGCCACCGTATTGGTCAGGTGAGCTACCGTCGCTCGGACCCTTTTGCTTTCCTCCCTTGCGTAAGCTCTGAGCCCAGCACTGAGTCTAGACACCAGCAGTTCAAAGCTGCTGCCATCATTGACCGGGGTCCTCCGCACCGTTGCCTCAATTATTTTCCGCACCCCAGGCCTGTTCACCATCGAAGCCTGTAACCTCCACAACCCCGGCCCTGTGCAGGCCTTCTCATCCAACCTGAAAGCAGTTAATATTGCGAAGCCATGGTCTGCTACTGGTTCATCGGGCTTAACATGGCCTGCAACCGTCAGGTAAGGCAGAAGAGATTGCGAGACCAAGGCACGATCGATTCGCGTGCTGACCCGTTTTGACTTAGAGAAAAAGGTGTATTCTCTGCAACCCGGGTGAAGGATGCGAAAAGCACCAGAGAGCTGGAAAGTCTTGCATCTCTGAAATAGCTTCTCATTCTCGTTCGAGGTTCCCTTGCCTGATGACTTATCTAGCTTGCAGTTTTCTATGTGATTAAGGTCCCCTATGATCAGCAGATGGTCTGTCGCAGGGATCTGATCTACCAGAGGACCGAGAGAGTCGCGGAGGAAGACGGATCTGGTTTGAGGACTAGCAGGGAAGTACACCGCGAGCAGTGTAAGATCCGGGCCGAGACCCCTGACCGTAGTCTTAACTATTCTACCGGACGGGTGAGGCAGTGTGTCGTGGAAGGTGATGGAAGGGTGGTTACTAAGGATGGCTACTCCACCCGCTCTCGTTCTAGGGGCTGTCGCTAGCACTGTGTGGGATGAAAGGCTTTTCCAGTAAGGGTGGTCTACATCTATTCTAGTGTCAACTAGGACTGCTATATCTCCTGCCTGGCTGAACCAGCTATTGACTCGGCTTTGCTTCGCTACGTCTGAGAGGCCGTTGACATTGAGGCTCGTTATGGTGAGGTGGTTTTTCTTAATCTTGATTCCACTGTCTTGCAGCCCCTGATCATCCACAGGCTGATAAAAGAAACAACACACGCAACACTGACACCCAGACTCCAGATTGCCGCCATCTCCAGCTTTCTGTCAGAGACGTCTACACTCCGTACTCCTTCCGAATAGCTTTGAGGGACATCTTCTCGAGGGATTGCTTGGTGGCAGCACCGGCCTCCTCCAGGTGAAGCATGTGAGCAGCAGTAGCGATGTGAGCTGCAGCTGACATGAGGCTCTTGCCGTGAGCCTTCCCGCATCCCTCTTGCGTACACAGCCACTCTTCTCTGTTGGTACCGGTTGAGATCAGTGCCAAAGCAGGGTCTCGGAGCAAGGGAAGGATGAACGCGGAGGCTTTCATGGAGGCAGCTGCAAGTATCACAAGAGAGGTCAGTAAAAGCTGTAAGAGGAGAATGCTGAAAAAGAGTTGGAGAGATCATAGTGTTGACTGTCAGCCGTGAGCATCCATTACCGTTGAGTCTGTGTGCCTTTCCCAAAGACAAATTCCACTTTCCTATGTTATTCTGCCGCTCAGTAGTGAAAGCATTATGATACTTATCATAATGCTGACCCCCACAGAGCGAGCAGGAGAGCGAAGGATAGTGAACCAGCAGTTTCTTCGCGCGGTCTGCTGGGTCCGGAATCGTATGAATCCAGCAGTGAAGATCCGCAGGATGAGCGTAAGCCAGTCCCTTCACCACATCCGTATCCACCCCCGTGACAGGGTGAAGAACCCGATGAAGGCAGGTGCAACGCTGGAAAGCCGGCTTCCCACGGCTCTCAATGTTGAACACAGCCAGGCGCTTCTGGATCGAAGACAGCTCCACTTCCGCCGAAACACCTTTGACAATGACTTCGATTGCCTGCGGGTTCTGCGCCTTCTCCCGTGAGAAGGTAGGATCAGCAGTATGAAGCCAATGCAGTTTGAACAGCTTGCCGTTAAGTGCCTGATAAACCACCTCCTTCCTTCGTACTGTTTCCGCATCTGTGTCGTGCAGGAAGGAAGCCTGAAGACGGCAGTACTGCAGCTTTGCAATGTAAATTGTAGGGAGCTCCTGAAACTTCACCTCCGTGTACACATCATCCGAGAGTTCTGTGCACCAACCACGTTTTATCAGCATCTTCAGAGCGTCCAACACACAAGCAATTTCCAGATGCAGAATAAACGGAATCAGCAGAACAACAGTGGAGCGCAGGGTCGCAGCAACTTCAGTGCTCAGATCAAGTTCCAACTCGTCGTCAGAGCCTTCGTCGATGAAACCATCAGCATCGGTAAGTAGCTCTGATGATGCAGCTTGATCACGCGAAGCACCAGCGGTAACCGAGGTATTATTAGCAGCGCTGTCAGCCGTGAGATTGTTGACTGCAGACGAACCATTGTCGCCATTAATAGATTCTTGCTGGTTGGCCGCAGGAGGAACAGGAGCATCAGCATTGTCAGCAGACTTGGAACGCGGACCCTTCGGCAGGGACAGGAGATCAGCCGGGTGTGACATCGTGCAATGATGAAAAAAAACTGGCAGAGCAGCGAGGTGGTAAACACCAATGAAAGCTGTGTGAGAAAGATCTGCCTGATGACTGAGCACGGCCTGGTTATATAGTCTTATGAACTTGTCAGGCTCCTTAGAATACGTAAACTTGTAAGGCAATTTCGATGCTGGACTCTTGAGAACTTCAATCTTAATAAGTTGGTTGTAGTCATTGTCCTGTAAACTTGTTGAAATATAGACTGCATGGTTAGGAACAAGCGTAAGCCACAATCTCGAGGATGCCTGACGAGCATTGAGAAGCGCTGCCTGATAGCCGGGAACACCAAGGTCAGCAGAAATGACCGGTTGTCCGTTGTGAGAACTATAGGCAAAGCATTGGGGAATGTCGAATGCTCGCGCGTTGCATCGAAGCGGAGAGCTTGGTAACAACTTGTCCGGTAAAATCCATGGCCGTCGTAAGGCGGCAAGAGCGGAGAGCTTCATGAGCTTAGTTACTGATGCATACAGGCTGTTGATGATCGGAGTGCGGAGGTTACACTGATTGTACGTGACTCCTCGTTTCTTAGTGACACTACTGCAGAGGCCAATACTGACGCCATTACCGGAAACGGCGTATGGAGGCGCAACCTTGAGCAGGTATCCGTCTCCCGATCCGGGATCGAGTTCACGATCCTGCGAAATACGTGTCACAGGTTTGGATTAAGGAGGCAGAAGAATGACGTCGTGAGCAATTCCGCAACCTGGAAGAGCATTGTAGCAATCATGAGTGGAAGAGAGCGAACGAAAGCCACGTGATAAAAGGAGAATTTGTTTTGAGACGTCTCAAAACATCGCGAGCAATTCCGCAACCTTGAAAAACATTGTAGAAATCACGACTCACGAGTGGAAGATAGCGAACGAAACGGAAAGGACATACGCACCACAACACCTGAGAACGAAGAGACGGCACGGCTGCAAGAACGGGTGGCAAACGGCAAGGCGACGGGGCTGGCGAATCGTCAGTCTCGTGTACTTGGGACGAAACGGTACGGGACGGGACGGGACGGGACGAGACGTGAGTGACTGTGGAAGTGGATCGGGCAAGAAAGCTGCGGGACTGACGACTCGTTTGGATCAGTCTCGCGAGAATTTCTGCGAGAACATTTACGGTACAAGAGGAAGTTCAATAAGAGTGCAAGTTTCAAGTTTACAGCTTTTGCAAACGAGCCATATTTCTCAGCAATGCCACGAATTTTACTGTGTTGAAGATACATATGCGGAGAATATTTATTGTATAAAATTATGTCTTCACATTCTCTTTTAGGTTCGTCACATACATGGGTTGTTTCTGAAGGAGATCCATGCATGTACAAGCCGCCAACCACAGCCCATTCTTGTTGAGTCAGCCAATCCGTCCCCTATTTCCTCAGGAATCTTTTCCATTACCTACCTCCGCGCTCGAATTAGGGGTGGATATTCCTTCCCATTTCCGCCATCTATACATCCCCGCATTTCCAGTCAGGACGCGATTCGGCGTTATGGCGGAGGGGAAGCGAGTGCGCTTGGGGTTCGTGGGTGAGTGAGTGCGCAAACTCTTTTGTGTAACCAGTTGCTGGCTGTCGCTCACTGCTCTGACTGTCGTTGACTGTCGTAGACTGTCGCTGACGGTCTCCGGCCGCGCCGTAGCCACTCGCATACGCGTCTCGTTGTGACCAGAGTCTCTCTGAATCTCTCGTCGCAAATAATGATGTAATCTTCGAGATCCCTCGATATGCTCTCCCACTCCCCCGTCTCCAACCCCTCCGCGCCAAATTTCCCCCCAACGCACAGGCGCGGGGCAGGTGGCGGAGGTGCTGGCGCAGGGGACGAGCGCACAATGCTCCTCTTTTCCCTGTTCATAGGGTCCCCTCTCCTTCTCCCTTCCCCAACGCACAGGCGCGGGGCAGATGGCGGAGGCGCTTGCGCGGGGGATGAGCGCAGCGGGGGTTGTAGCAGCGAGCGACATGAGCGCCATGGATCTGAGTCAGGAGCGACTGGCGGTGTTTGCTGACATGGGGGTGGCTGCTAAGGCAACCTGCAAAGAGGTGGGTTTTGTTACAGGGGTGTGCTTTGCCGTGTGTCGTACCAGCAGAGCGCCGTGGGCTTGAGTCAGGAGCGACTGGCGGTGTTTGCCGTGATGGGGGTGGCTGCTAAGCCATCTTGCAAGGAGGTATGCTGCATTGCACTCTCTTGTTGTCCTCTGTCTAGTCCAGCAAGCAGAGCGCCATGGATTTGAGCCAGGAATGACTGGCGGTGTTTGCCGAGATGGGTGTGGCTGCTAAGGCCACGTGCAAAGAGGTGGGCTTTGCTACAGGGGGGTGTTGCAGCGAGTGGCATGAGCGCCGTGTTGCAGCCAGGAATGACTGGCGGTGTTTGCCGGTGACTGGCTGCTAAGACCACGTGCAAGGAGGTATCCCCTTCTCCTCCCCTCCGGGCACAGCTCGCAGCAGCGAGTGATGTGATCTTCATTGCAGTGAAGCCCCACACAGTGAAGGCCATGCTGTCGGAACTGAGGGACAATACTGCCATCACAAGCACGCACCTGGTTGTGTCCATTGCTCCCCTTCCCATGCTGTCTCTCCACTCCCAACCCTGACCTTCTCCTTCCTTCCCCGCCCTTCCTTGCCCTGCTCTTCCTTTCCCTACCCCAGCTCGCAGCAGCCAGCGATGTGATCTTTATTGCAGTGAAGCCCCACACAGTGAAGGCAGTGCTGTCAGAGCTGAGGGACAGCACCGGACCCAACCCAACACCACTCCTCTCATCTTTTCCTTTCTCCTCTCCCACAATCACAGCTCGCAGCAGCCAGTGACGTCATCTTTATTGCAGTGAAACCCCACACAGTGAAGGCAGTGCTGTCGGAACTGAGGGACAGCACCGCAATTACGAGCAACCACCTGGTTGTGTCGATTGCTGCCGGTGTGACGATTGCTAACCTGCAGCAGTGGGCGGGTGACGAGGCAAAGATTGTGCGAGTCATGCCGAATACCCCTTGTCTTGTGGGGGCGACAGCAGCAGGTGAGAAGGGTGGCTGACAGGGTTGACGGTATAAGCATCACAGGCAAAGCTGCCATCACAAGCACGCACCTGGTGGTGTCGATTGCCGAATACCCCGTGCTTCGTGGAGCAAACAGCAGCAGGTGAGATGGGTTGCTGAAAGTGCATTCGACACTGCAATCAGAGGCAGTTCTGCCATTACAAGCACCCAACGCAAGCACCCACCTGGTTGTGTCCATTGCTGCGGTGCGAATCTGCAGCAGTGGGCCAACACAGGAACCACAGGCAGTGCTGCCGATACAGACAAGTAACAGCTCCTGCAGCAGTGGGCGGGTGGACATGTTCTGTAAGCAGTTATTGATACATTTATTCATTCATTGATTTATCTATAACCATTGTTTAATTTCCCACCCTTCAAACTTCCTGCCTGAGCAGCCATGAGTCTGGGCAGCAAGGCAACAGCAGAGGATGCAGCATTGGTGCGGCGCATGTTTGAAGCAGTGGGGAAAATACAGCAGGTCGAGGAAAAGCTGCTTGATGCTGTCACTGGGCTCAGGTACGGTGGTAAACGTTTGGGAGGCGTGGAAAGCGGTGCGTCGCATGTTTGAAGCGGTGGGGAAATTACAGCAGGTGGAGGAAAAGCTGCTGGATGCTGTCACTGGGCTCAGGTAAGCATGATGTTGAGCTCAGGTATGGCTGACATGGCGTTGACAGGTATGGATAGTGTGTTCAGAAGTGTTTTCAGAAGGTGTGTATCGCGGTGCGGTGCGGTGCGGTGCATGTTCGAACTTGGAAGCGGTGGGGAGAATAAAGCAGGTGCATGTTCTAACTTCCTCTCCCCTCTCTCCCTCTCAGTGGCAGCGGACCAGCATATGTGTTCTTGGCCATAGAGGCGCTGGCGGATGGAGGGGTGGCTCCCAGCCTGCCCATTCTCACCCCTCTGTACCGCCGTCCACCCCACTCCTGTCTCCCCCTCTCAGTGGCAGCGGACCAGCATATGTGTTCATGGCCATAGAGGCGCTGGCGGATGGAGGGGTGGCCGCTGGCTTGCCCAGAGACGTTGCTCTCTCCCTCGCCGCTCAAACGGTACGTAAATTGCCTTCTCTTTGTCACAGTGCCCTTAATTTATGCAAGTTAATCACTGTGTAGGCCATGTTTTGTCGAGCTATTAAAGGAACCCTGCTGATTGTATTGCAAGCAAGCCGAGGGACCTACCTCTTTCGTTCCTCTCCCTTAGATTGCGCAAACCAGGTGTACGGATCTGCAAAGATGGTGTTGGAAACTGGCAAGCACCCCAGTGACTTTTGAGTCGACTCAAAAGTCACTTGGTGGCCTCCCTGCTATTGTTAGAGCGTGCAACCCTCTTTCCCCCCTCTCCCTTCAATTGCGCAAACCAGGTGTATGGATCTGCAAAGATGGTGTTGGAAACTGGCAAGCACCCCGGCCAACTTAAAGACTCAGTGGCCTCTCCTGGAGGTAACATGTTTTTCTGGTCATATTTATAGCATTTCTGGTTATTGAGAAAAAAATATGGCAAGTTATTCTAAGTTTCTAGTTTTTTCTTTTGCCGCACAGGTACAACAATTGCAGGAATTCATGCTCTAGAGAAGGGAGGATTCCGAGCGACGTTGATGAATGCAGTTGTTGCAGCCACAGAAAGAAGCAAGGAGCTGTCTAAGTAGAAGCACATGCATACTGAAATGTTGTTGATATTGTTGTTATGTCAACATGTAGTCTCAACATTATACCCGATATTAAAATCCTGAATTGACGACGCAAATTGGGGCAACACTACGCCTGGGGGTCTAGCAGGGTTCGGGGTTTCTAGGAAGACCTTTCACTGAAACCGAAACCCCATCTTAACAAAATACCTGGAACTCATCTTCTCAGATTGCCTTCCTGGTCGTTGCAAGTCAGGTGAATGTTATCGAGCCGGGAGCGTTACTAGGGTAGCCTTTTTGAAATCAACGCCCTTTTTGAGCCCGCAACGACTTTTGATAATTTAGTTTCTTTTATTCTTTTCGTGTATTTAGGACCAACGGGAGTAATGGCGGAGGTGGATGCGCAGGAGGCGGGGGAGAAAATGAGGAGAATTGCGCTTAGAGCGGAAGAAGCCGAAGCGGGGGGACAATCAGGAGGAAGCGCGGCTCCGGCGGAAGGAGCGGAAGTCGGGGAACAATCAGGCGGAAGCTCGGATATAGCGGAAGAAGCGGAATCCGGAAAGCAATCAGGGGGAGGCGCGGGCGAGTTGAAAGGCGGCGGAGGAAGAGGAGGGGCGGAGAGTGAGGAGGAGGAGAGTGGGGAGGAGGGGGATGTGGAGGAAAACGGGAGAGTAGAGGAGAAGAGTGGGAAGGAGGAAGGAGGTGCGGAAGATTTAGATGGGGAAGGGGCGAAAATAGTGGCGGAAGCAGAGGCGGAGATAGAGGCGGAAGGAGAGGCGGAAGAAGAGGCGGAAGGAGAGGCGGAAGAAGAGGCGGAAGAAGAAGAGGAAGGAGAGGCGGAAGGAGAGGCGGAAGAAGAGGAGGAAGGAGAGGCGGAAGGAGAGGCGGAGGGAGAGGCGGAAGAAGAGGAGGAAGGAGAGGCGGAAGGAGAGGCGGAAGAAGAGGCGGAAGCAGAGGCGGAAGCAGAGGCGGAAGGAGAGGCGGAAGAAGATGGGGACGCAGAGGCGGAAGCAGAGGCGGAAGGAGAGGCGGAAGAAGATGGGGACGCAGAGGCGGAAGCAGAGGCGGAAGGAGAGGAAGCAGGAGAGGAGGAAAGAGCGGATGAAGGGGGGGGGAACGAGGAGGAGGATGAGGAGATGGAGGGGGAAGAGGAGGAGGTCGGAGCACAAGGGGAAGAGGGAGAGGAGGAGGGAGAGGAGGGAGAGGAGGAGGGAGAGGAGGAGGAGGGAGAGGAGGAGGAGGAGGAGGAGGAGGAGGAGGGAGAGGAGGGCGAAGAGGGAGAGGAAGAGGAGGGAGAGGAGGAAGAGGAAGTGGAGAGGGAGGAGGGGGAGGAGGGGGACGAGGAAGAGGAAGAGGAGAGGGAGGAGGGTGAGGAAGGGGAGGAAGAGTATATGGTGTTGAGCGAGCAAGCAGTGAGGCAAAAGTAAGTGTCGCCCGTGTGAGAGAGCAAGTCACGGCGGGCCATGACCATCATACCACCACTCTGTCCTTCCTACCGTCATCCACCCTCGGTCAAAACCCGAAACCCCTCAAAAGAATTGCTCAACCCGTGCCCTAGTCCCTCCCTCTCGTGTATTTCTGTTCTACGATGCCCTAAACCCTCATTCTCTTACGTGTGTAGTTTCCTGCAAGGTCTCGGTTAGAAGACTTCTTAAAGCCTTACTTTCTTCCATTACCCTTCCTTCCATCCCTTCTCACCGATTTTGCAGGAAACTAGACGACTACGCTCGCTCCTTTGCTCCCATTGTCTGGGAACCCAAAATCACCCTTCCCTCCTCTTCTTCCTCCTCCACCTTCTCCTCCTCCTCTCCCTTCTCCCTCTCCTCGCTCTCCTCCTCCCTCTTTTCCCCCTCCCTTTTCTCTCACTCTCGTCACAAAAACAAGCCCGCCAAAGCTAAACCGCCCCCTCTAAAACCCGGCGCCGGTGCTGACGTGGCAAGGGGCAAGTCTGACGTAGCGAGGGGGAAGAGCACCGGCATCAAGGGAGTCACTGTAGCAACCACTGGGTCGGCACGGATCGTCTTGCGGGAAGCTTCCGAACCGGGCGGCATAAGAAGCACGACGGGGATGCGATTGTCTGTTATCAAGGAGAAAGAGAAGGAGGGAGTGCAGGGGGGAGGAGGTAAGGGAGGGGAGGGAGGAGAGGGGAAAGAGAGCATGGGAGGAGGAGGAGGAAGGGGAGGTGGGGAAGGGGAAGGGGGAGGGAAGGGGGGAGGGAGAAGTGGGTGGAGGGGCAGTTGCAGGTGCCCCCGAAGGACCCTCACAAGCTGGCACAGATTGCTCGCAAGAACAAACCCAACACTGCTGGACCAAAATGGTGAGCTGCTCTTAGTGAGGCGCCTTATGACGAACAGTCCTCATGTTGCTAGTTGCAACATGCAAGGCCCCCCCTAAAGACCCTCACAAGCTGGCATAGATTGCTCGCAAGAACAAACCCAACACTGCTGGACCAAAATGGTGAGCTGCTCTTAGTGAGGCGCCTTATGACGAAACATCCTTCATGTAGCTGCCGGTACCTCCCCAGAGAATAATAATAATAATAATAATAATAATAATAATAATAATAATAATAATAATAATAATATTATTATTATTATTTAATAATCTTTTGTCCCATGTGTTTGTGACTCCCAGGTACGACCTTCCTGCACCGGATATAACTCCTGAGATCAAGACAGAGCTTCAGCTGCTGCGGGTAATGTGTTGCCTTGGTCTTAGTCCCAGTCTCAGTCCCAGTCTATGTCTGAGTCTCAGTCTCTGTCCCAGTCAGTCTCGGTCTCAGTCTCAGTCAGTCTCAGTCTGTCTCAGTCAGTCTCAGTCTCAGACTTAGTCTCAGTCCCAGTCCGTCTCTGTCCCAGTGTCGGTCTGCAATCATGGCGTTCTTTCTCTATTCTGCTCTATCATTTCTGATTTTTGAGTCGATTCAAAAGTCATATCATTTCTGTGACTGGGATTGAGAATGCATTCTGATAACCTCTGTCATTATCCCTGGCTGTGACTGTGACTGTGACTGTGACTGTGCTCTGTGCTTCTGTGTTCAGATGAGGAACGTTCTCGATCCCAAGAGACACTATCGATCAGCCGACTCTAAGAAGCTTCCAACACATTTTCAGGTACCCGTTTTCATTATCAGGCACCATGGGTGACCTTTTCTCTTTCCCGACTAGTGCTAGATAACGGTTAATGTCATGACTAGTGCTTCCCGTTATCTTTTTTTGAGGCGCCTGAAAAGTACACTTCAGGTACGTGTTGGTCACCCTTGGCACCCGTTTTCATTATCAAGCACCAACGGTGACCTTTCTCTTTCCCTGTGTTAATGTCATGACTAGTGCTTCCCGTTCTCCACTCGCTCTGGCTGTCAGAGCGAGTGGGCAACATCTGTCCTTTTCCCTTTGATCAACATTGGCATATGAAGCATTTGTTGACCCCCTGAACCCCTTCCGTCACGACCCCTAGAAGCTAACACTGCAGGCAGACCCGCACAGTGGCAGAGGGAGCAGCACAGTTATTTATTTAATTACTCCGTTATTTCTTTTACTCGCTCCTCTGTTTGTTTCCGTTCCTCAGATTGGCACAGTGGTGGAGGGAGCAGCGGACTTTTACAGCAGCAGGCTGACACGGAGGGAGAGGAAGCAGAGCTTTGCAGCAGAGCTGTTGCACGATGAGGAGCTGAAGAAGTACAGGTGAGTGAGTCAATCGAATATGGGTGAATGGTGCCAGTTCTGGGAGCAAGGAAGCTGCTGGTGCGACAGGATGCTCAGGCTGATAAGTGGCAGAGCTTTGCAGGTGAGCTTTGCAGGTGAGCTTTGCAGGTGAGCTTTGCAGCAGAGCTTTGCAGCAGAGCTTTGCAGCAGAGCTTTGCAGGTGAGCTTTGCAGCAGAGCTGTTGCACGATGAGGACCTGAAGAAATACAGGTTAGGCAATCGTAGGGTGGTGGCGGTGCTGCTGCTGCTGCTGCTGCTGGTGATGGTATGCAGGTTGATGTGTGCTGCGCTCTGTGGTTGCTGGTGCTGCTGACTTTGCAGCACAGCTGTTGCACGATGAGGATTGACAGACACCGTTCCTCTCTGGTTTTGAGGCCCCTCAACACTAGAGCTGTTGCATGCGCAGGACTGACGGACAGTGACCCGTTTTGAAGTGGCAGGAACTTTGGCTTACACCATTTTACCCCTGTCCATCATCCCCCCAATGCTCGTCCCATTTGACCTCCCGCCCACCCCTCAACCCCCGCATTCCCCCCCCCCCCACCCTCCGCCCTCCCCCATTCTCCCTTCCCGCCACTTGTTATGGCCGATGCAGGAAGCGCAAGTTCCTGGAAATTGCGGAGGAGAATCAGCGCAAGGGCAGGAGGCACCTGGTGAAGAAGCAGGATAGGAAGAACCCCACTTGGGCCAGGGCAGCACCCAAATGAGGCGAACCAAACTTGCATAGCATGTCATGCCCTTAGAGGAGGAGGCACCTGGTGAAGAAGCAGGATAGGAAGAACCCCACTTGGGCCAGGGCAGCACCCAAATGAGGCGAACCAAACTTGCATAGCATGTCATGCCCTTAGAGGAGGAGGCACCTGGTGAAGAAGCAGGATAGGAAGAACCCCACGTGGGCCAGGGCAGCTCCCAAATGAAGAGGCTCTGATGTGCACGATATGCATATAATAAGAGCCTTTGCACTGCAAGATATAATCTGTGGAGAGACGAGGAGACATTTGCTGAAGAAGCAGAAAGAAGAACCCCACTTCGGCCAGGGCAGTGCCCAAATGAGGCTGCACCATGCACATCAATATCGTGCATCATATGGGTTAGGATTAGAGAATTCGAGATGGGTACTGTAAGAGCAGCACCAGACATGTAGGATGCATATTTGAAATTAGATCAATTTTCAACCAATCGCCTCAAATACACTTGAGATAACGTCATTTGATACCAGAAACCCCTCCGGATCAGTCAGCCGCATCCTAAGGCCCTGCAAGATCACCTCCCCATCATCACCACCAGCACCGGCACTCTCACCACCCTCAATTCCTCTTTTGCCAGAGTGGCCTTCCACCACCCTTGTTCTCTCTCCACTCTCCCTCACTCTACCATGTTGCGCATCCCATATCTCTTGAGCAACAATCGCATCCAATTGCTGCTCCAATACTCCCACACACTGCTTCCCTGCTCCCAAAACCTCCATGCTTCCATCGGGCATCACTTGCACTGTTTCCACCAATCCAGCATTGACAAACTTCTGCAGCGCTTTCCCCACCGCCGCTGCAGCCTCCGCGCCGAACCTACCCGCCAGCTCCGGCATTCCCAAGCCTTCCCCGAGCCTGAGCCCGAGCATGACCGTATCTAGCAGCTCCTCTTCTCTGGAATCCTCCGGCCAATCAATAACCCCGTTGCTAGCTTCGTACTTGCCGACCCACTCCCCGTACCCATCCCAGGTTCGGGGCCGAACGAACCTCTTCCGGGCCACATAACTAGCCGCGCCCAGCCCGAACCCCAGGTACGGAAAATTCGTCCAGTAGGTTCGGTTATGCCGAGACTGGAAGCCAGGTTTGGCATAGTTGCTAACCTCGTAATGAACATATCCTGCTTCACGAAGCTGCCGGGAAGCTTCCCGGTACATCTCAGCGGAAAGATCATCGGCAGGAAGGGGGGAGCATCCGGGTGAATACCAGCGGGCAAAGGCTGTGCCTTGCTCCACCTGCAAATCATAGACTGACACGTGGCTGGGGCCAAGGCGGATGACTTCGGTGAGGGAGTGCCGCCAGCTGTCGAGGGTCTGACCTGGCAGGCTGCCATTGGTTGGGGAAAAAAGGGATGAATGGGATAAGGGATGACAAGTGGAGTATAGGAAGGACGACGGAAGCAATTATTGCTCAACTAGCATTGAGGATGGCAATGATGGTGACACTATGGTTGCACCCTCCCTTACCTAAGGGGATACATAGCTACTCACCCTGAGATCAAATCCAAGCTCCAGTTTTGCAGTCCCACACGCTTCACCGCATCGACAGCATCGTACACGTCAGCAAGAGAGTGAGATCTGCCACACGCCTTCAGCAAATCTTGATCAAACGCCTGGCATCCCACACTCAGCCTCGTCACTCCCGAGCCTTCCACCCAGGCTCGGAGCCGAGCCTCGTCGAATGTTCCAGGGTCGGCCTCCAAGCAGATCTCTGCGTCCGGAGCAAGGCCGTAGGTTTGGCGGAGAGTGTCGACGAGCCTGGCGAGTAGGTCCGGCGGGAGGAGGGAGGGGGTACCTCCTCCAAAGTGGATTGTGCGAAGAGGAGAGTGAGGAGAGTGAGGAGGAGCGTGAGGAGAGTGAGGACGCGGAGGAGAAGAACTGGCTTTAATCTCCCTGATCACCAAATTCACGTAATTCTCCATCTTCAATCTCAGCCGTTCATGTACAGACGGGTCCCTGGCCCCCACTGTGACTATAGGGAAGTCGCAATAGTGACAGCGACGGCGACAGAAGGGGATGTGAACATATGCGGAGAGAGGAGGAGAGGACGCGATGTCATGAACGGAATTCAGGGTAGAAACAGGAGGTTTGTGGACACGTGGCTGTTCCTGATTGGTTGAAGACGACTGGGCCATGGCGGAATTGTTGATGTGACTACAACGGGGTTTGTGTTGCAATGTCGATCTTCGGAAAAATGACGTTTGGGAGATGAAACGAGGCTGTGGAAAGGAGGAAAAGGGCGAGGAGGAGAAGGAGGAGGTGGAGGAGGAGAAGGAAGAGGTGGAGGAGGAGGAGGAACCATGGCTGATGGTAACCCAGGATGATTTAAGACCAGAAATATTAGACCTGGCTGACGTGGCAAGCAGGACGCGGCTGTGGTGATGACGGTGGTGATGCAAACGAGCGACGGGTGCGACTCTTGCGACGTAAAACGCGACTTGCGAAGGAGACACGGATCGCAGAGCGACGCTCAGGCGACCTGGAAGGCCTCTCGCGTGCGGATTCATGCGAGCTGTCCCTGTGGTGCCGCTGATCGCACGGACTCAAATGACAGATTATAGAAGCTACTTTTATCGCCGGTTTCGCCGTTAGTAGCGCCTCTGTATCGCGGTATCTCAGATATTTGAAACTTTGTTATGTGGGGGAATTCCTTCGGCCCTCACATGCTTCGCAAGGTCACATGCAACGGCACAGAAAGATACTGCTAGTTCTGGAACGATTGAGAGCGTTTCTGTGTGTTATAACACGGTCTACATTTGACCCAAGTTCCCGATTTTCACCTTCATAAGGCATCTCGATACAAAAGGTGCATCACCTTTCATACTCAAATTAGACATCATCATCGATATGTTCACACCCACCAGACCACTTTCAGAAGTCCAATGACTCCCCTCTCCTGATCATGTTTCTTTCCTTACAAGAGGAGCACACAAGGGCTCATGCCACCATGCTTTCCCTCGAGTGCCGCAGGGCCGCTCAAGAGGGCCTGTCTTGGTAAACCGCACACACAAAGCACAGTGCTAGTTACCGTAGATGACATGAAGATCCAAGCAGCATCTATATACATATTAAGACTTCAACAAGCAGTTAGGAATGACCCAAGACGTCGACCTTTTAATCTTCTCCTCCTCCAGCAACCTATTCTTCTCCATCAAGATATCCCTTTCAAGCCTAAGCTTCTTAACCTCAACTTTTGCAATATCGAGTGCTTTTAAATACTCCTCCGCTCTGTCTAAACTCTCTCTCCCCGCCACTGCCACTTCTGCCGCCTCCTCCCTCTCTTCCATCAGCACTGCTAGCTCCCTCTGCAAAGCGTCTATCCGTCTATCTGCCGCCATCATCGCCGCGTCTTTCTCCCTTCGCACTGCATTCGCCCTGGCGTTCGCCGCTGACAGCTCAGCACGCACCGACGCCACCTCAGCGTTGGCCGCTGCCAGCTTGGCATTCGCTGCCGCGGCGACTTCTTGCAGTTGGTGCAACGCGGCTGCTTCTCGTTCCCTCGCGCGCGCCAGACCGCCTTTTAGCAGCTGCACTTCCGCTCGCAGGACTCGCACCTCTTCAGGCTCTTCCGCTGGTGCGGACTCGGCAGGTAAGCCGGCTTCGGCTGGAGGTATTCCTAGACCGTGCTCCTTGGACCGGGTTTCCATGGTAGTTGTCATTTCTGTCCGGGAACGTCAGTTGGGCCGAATTAGCAGGCGTTTACCTGATAAATTATGAATTGGAACGTTTGAAGTCCTGGGAACTCCCTAGCACATTCAGGATTTGATATGCCTCGGGTGAAATCAACGAACTCGAGGGACTGCGACCTGACTTCGTCGAATCAACGAATGACGTATTCCGGAATGCCGCGATTGGACCAGACGCTGTTTCGCGAGAATGTTCCTAAAACTTTACACTGAGCCTGAAGACCAGTTATGGAAAGGGTGATGACTAGTAGGCTTCCTACAGCGTCGCATAAAGTAAACTTCTTCTCGTCGGCCACAACGCAGAAAACGCAGAAGACGATATTTGAACGTCCGACGGCGCAGTTTCAACGAGATGTGAAGTGAAGCGACTTGTAATACAGCTGCACTCTCTCTGTGCTATGAAACGCGTGGATGTGCTCGGGAAGCAACACTTCTTTCCCTGAGGTAAATTTATGACGAGGTGAATCAGCACTGGCCGCAATCCCTATGGCTGGTTGTTGGCACAGCTGGGTTTGGTGGGGGGCGACCTGGGTTGGAGTGTGGTTGGTGTGCTGCTGGGCGTTGACGAGAGGAGGGGTGGGAGTGAACAGATATACTCGATGCTGAGAGACCTCATCTGCGCATCAACAAGTGGAATATGAGAACAGTCAATCCACACGTATCTGTCAGAACTTCAACAAAATACTGGAAACATCTACAGGTCAATAAAATGTAAGGCAAATAGAAAGCTCCGAACTAAGTGGATGAAGTCATGTATGCTACCATCGTCCACATGTTCTTCGTGCCCACCTTTATGATGGGTACACAATGGGATGGTAATATACAAGTACATAATATTGTACAGCAGACAGAACACAACGCTAGAAACAAAACCCCATAAACCCATGTTTTATTTATACCCTGCCAGCCAAGAATGGTCCTGGATATGGCTCACCCAAGGATTTTGCCATCCAACCTGGCAGCTGCTAGAAAAGGACTGGCAACTGCTCGAAAAGGACTGGCAGCTGCTCCACAACCAAATACGCACGGCTGCAGAATGCGACAGGCACTCCACTGAATGTGTCTCCCCCAACCACAGCAGAACTCAGCAACCAAGCACCTTCCCACCCCATTTCTAAAACTCAACCGCCAGTTGAGTGAGACTAATCAGGAACTACCCACAGCTACCGCAGCAGGAACGATGGGGTACAACAATGACTGAAGTATCCTTCCATGGTACTTCAGAAAATCAGCCAAAAACTGGAAAAAAAAAAATAGAGAGGAAATTAATATGCGGCGTGGGAAGAGTCTCCATGTGCCTCACAAACCCTATTCTTGAGCCAGCCTCCTTCCGCTTCCTCCGCAACCACCTTCCTTCCAAAGTCAGCCATCCCCCCTTTCTCCGCATCTGGTCAGCCTCAGACGCATCCACGAGACCCTCTGCCTGCGAGTGCTGCTGGTGCGAACTAAGTAAGTTGATGCCTAACGAGGCGTGTCAGGCGTAAACCGAGGCGGCTCGGACACGTTCATCAGGCACGGCGGCACGAGCCAGTTCACGGTCGCCATAGCGCCTCCCGCTCCGCCTCCATGCTCCAACGCCTGAATCCGCTCCTGCAGCAAATCCCTTTCCAGTCTTAACTTCTTAATCTCCACTTTCGCGACGTCTAAAGCTCGGAGATATTCTTCCGCTCTCTCGACGCTCCGTTTCCCCTTAGCGATAATCTCAGCGTCCTCTTCTCGCTCGTCTACCAGAACCGCTAATTCTCGTCTTAGAGTTTCAATCCGACGGTCCGCAGCCTGCACCGCGACTTCTTTTTCCCGCCGTACGACTGCCAACTTGGCATTAACGGAAGCTAGGTCAGCTTTGGCAGTTGCTGACTCAGCTAAGGCGGCTGCCAGGCTGGCTTCCAGCTGCTTTATTCGTAGCCGTAGTCGTTCTACGTCCGCCATGTCCGCATTGCCCTTAAAATCGCCGTCTGGCAATCTGCCGTTTGCGAGCGTACCGCCTTCGTGTTCGTGCATGGCTGCCCTAGGATAGCGTTTCCGAGGAGATGAATAACCGTGACGGAGGAACAGACCGCTTCTGCTAAGCAATGTTCAGGAGGGAAAGAACCAAGGTGTGAAATAAATAACTATTTAACAAGACTTCCGTTGAAAGGGTAGAACGAGGGAACATAAAGGGATGAAGAAACGAGCTGAAGCAGGCAGCAGGGGCAAGAGCTATAGCAGAAATTACAGCAACAGCAGAAGTAAGCGAGGGAAATAGAGCAACACATCACCAGCAACAGCAATAGCGCCAGCAGGAGACGAGTAGGGAAAGACGGAATGCAAACCAACGCATACAGTAATGCAAGAAGGCATTACCCAGCGCGTTTCAATTTCAGTCGACTGGTGAGCGTATCGAATGCAACGCAACGCCCCTGCGCTCAGACATCTGCACCCTTATGATTTCTGCGATTGACACGCAAGGTGATGGGGAGTGAGAATGCGGCCTAGGTACGAGGGCGGAGCCGGCTCTGAGCAGGATGCAGGAAGCGGGAAATCCCCGTCAGTCCATTCCATCACGTGATCGGAGGACAGGAAAAAGCAATATCTACACTACAATAGAACTAGTGTAATTTCTGAGCTCACAAACATCACGTGTTAGATGCGACATAAGCCATAAAGCACATATTCTACATTCCGAAATTGTCTTCTCTACATGCAGCCATGATTCTAGCAATGCTTGCTTGCTCCATCTCGTCAGCCACAGGCAACTCTGCAATGCACATAAAGGTGATGGAGCCGGTGGGATCGTATGGAGTTGGTGTAAAGACATACCTTACGGTACTCACCTAGTGGCAGTTGTTATAATACATACAATATTCAACATAAAAACACAACCAAGGCCGTCCTGATTCTCCCCAACCACTTTCCCCTCTCAGTCTCACCTTTGTCAAACTGCAATGTTGGAATCTCTTCTTTATCCTTCTCCGCTGTCCACTCCTGAATAGCCTCGTCCCACCGCCCAATCACAACGCAACACGCGGCCTGCGGTCGATGCGGACCAATTGATTCCTCCTCCAAACCACTCGCACCCTCACTCCCTCTCCCTCCTCTCCTCCGTTGCCCTGGCAGCATGACAGCATCAGGCCAAGCAGGGCCGATAGGGAGTGGCGCCAGGAACAGAGACCGATCCGTTGACGCTGCCACCGTTTCACTCGCCGCTCCTGCTGCCCGTGCTGCTGTTCTTGTCCCTGCCCTCCCATCTGCTCGTCCTGCTCCACCTACTGCTCCTGTTCCTGTTCCCATGGCTGTTGCTGGAACTGCATTTTCTTTACAAGGCACGGTCACCCGATGCTGACCCGGCATAAGCTGCTGCGGCTGCACATGCTGACCTGGCAGCGTCGCATTCGCATTCAAGCCGCCAGGTGGCAGCATGTGAGAGGGCGCGATGCTCTCTTGCGGGTCAAACAGAAACTGCTGCGATCCAAAAGGGTTCTGAGAGGCACTGAACGGTTGGAAGGAGCTTTGCTGCGATTCAAAGGGGTGGTACGGCTGCGAGGCAAAGGGAGCTGCTTGGGAGGGAATGTGGTGGTGTGCCTGGGAAGGGGAGAAGCTCTGCTGTGTCGCGAACGGGAAGGACTGGGAGAAGGGGTCCGGGCTCTGAGATGACACGCCAACCTGATTGCTAGCAGTGGCCGCACCAGCAGCACCAGCAGCAGCACCAGCAGCACCAGCAGCAGCAGCACCAGCAGCAGCAGCAGCAGCAGCAGCAGCAGCAGCAGCAGCAGCAGCAGCAGCAGCAGCAGCAGCAGCAGCAGCAGCAGCAGCAGCAGCAGCAGCAGCAGCAGCAGCAGCAGCAGCAGCAGCAGCAGCAGCAGCAGCACCACCACCACCAGCAGCAGCAGCACCAGCAGCAGCAGCACTATCAGCAGCAGCAGCAATGGTGCCTCCCAGGAACCCCAAGCGACCCAGGGATTGCAGCGCTGAGTCGACAAGCTGCCCTCGTGCTGCCATGCGGCACTTGGCAATTGGCTGCGCGTCTGCTGCTGCCTCTGCAATCTCGTGACTGGGTTTGGCAAGGGAAAAGAGGGGGGGTTGTGGATGGGTAAGTAGTCGAGTAAGCAATATACAGTAAACCTGTTTTACGATGTCCAATTTACCCAAGTGACTCATTTTTTGTTTTCCCTCTACCCCATCCCACTCCACTCAACTCCACTCCACTCCTCCCCACTCCACTCCATCTCACCACGTGAGAGGCCATGCAGTCGTGCCCTCGCCTCCTGTGCAGACGAGGTGCACTTAGAGACGATTCAAACCAACATTCAATCAAACCAAATGGCGTTCACTCCCCTCCACCCCACCCCACCCCACTGCACTCCATCTCACCACGTGAGAGGCCATGCAGTCGTGCCCTCGCCTCCTGTGCAGATCTCTGCCACTCTCGCAATTGACACATCCAACTGCCCCATCACCCCATTCCACCCCACTGCACTCCATCTCACCACGTGAGAGGCCATGCAGTCGTGCCCTCGCCTCCTGTGCAGATCTCTGCCACTCTCGCCATTGACACATCCAACTGCCCCATCACCCCATTCCACCCCACTGCACTCCATCTCACCACGTGAGAGGCCATGCAGTCGTGCCCTCGCCTCCCGTGCAGACGAGGTGCACTTAGAGACGATTCAAACCAACATTCAATCAAACCAAATGGCGTTCACTCCCCTCCACCCCACCCCATCCCACTGCACTCCATCTCACCACGTGAGAGGCCATGCAGTCGTGCCCTTGCCTCCTGTGCAGATCTCTGCCACTCTCGCAATTGACACATCCAACTGCCCCATCACCCCATTCCACCCCACTGCACTCCATCTCACCACGTGAGAGGCCATGCAGCCGTGCCCTCGCCTCCTGTGCAGATCTCTGCCACTCTCGCAATTGACACATCCAACTGCCCCATCACCCCATTCCACCCCACTGCACTCCATCTCACCACGTGAGAGGCCATGCAGTCGTGCCCTCGCCTCCTGTGCAGATCTCTGCCACTCTCGCAATTGACACATCCAACTGCCTCATCACCCCATTCCACCCCACTGCACTCCATCTCACCACGTGAGAGGCCATGCAGTCGTGCCCTCGCCTCCTGTGCAGATCTCTGCCACTCTCGCAATTGACACATCCAACTGCCCCATCACCCCATTCCACCCCACTGCACTCCATCTCACCACGTGAGAGGCCATGCAGTCGTGCCCTCGCCTCCCGTGCAGATCTCTGCCACTCTCGCCATTGACACATCCAACTGCCCCATCACCCCATTCCACCCCACTGCACTCCATCTCACCACGTGAGAGGCCATGCAGTCGTGCCCTCGCCTCCTGTGCAGATCTCTGCCACTCTCGCAATTGACACATCCAACTGCCCCATCACCCCATTCCACCCCACTGCACTCCATCTCACCACGTGAGAGGCCATGCAGCTGTGCCCTCGCCTCCTGTGCAGATCTCTGCCACTCTCGCAATTGACACATCCAACTGCCCCATCACCCCATTCCACCCCACTGCACTCCATCTCACCACGTGAGAGGCCATGCAGTCGTGCCCTCGCCTCCTGTGCAGATCTCTGCCACTCTCGCAATTGACACATCCAACTGCCCCATCACCCCATTCCACCCCACTGCACTCCATCTCACCACGTGAGAGGCCATGCAGCCGTGACCTCGCCTCCTGTGCAGATCTCTGCCACTCTCGCCAGTGACACATCCAACTGCTCTTCATCCTCCGGCTGCTCCTGCTGCTCCTGCTGCTGCTGCTGTTGCTGCTGCTTCTGCTTTTTCCGCCTGTGTTGTTGATTCAACCTAACATCGCTCTCGGTGGTTCTTTCTCTCGCCTCGTTCCCTCTCGCCTCCACTTCCTCCCCTTCCTCCGTCTCCCCCTTTCTGCAGACCACCGGATCCAGAGCTGAGCGAACATCTGCATCAAGCCAAGGGGGGCACAGGCTAGCAAGGACGAGAGGTGAGTGAAATATGGATTGCGCCTGCCACCTGCTATCCCTCACGCCTTCTCCCCCTCTCTACCACCAACCACTGCATCCAGAGCCAAGCAAACATCTGCATCAAGCTAAGAGTGAAACAGAGGGGTGGAGAGGGGTGGAGAGAGGTGGAGGGAGGTGGGGAGAGTGGAAAGGCGAGTGGTGAGTGAAGCACGGATTGCAGCTGCCACCTGCCACACGCCACCAGCGAACTTGTCACTCTTCTTTTTCATCTACCCCCTTCAAGAGCACCTTCAGCACAGCCAACTCACGGAGTACCACAGTAAGGCTCAAATCAGAGACTCAGAGTGTGCCACATTCGGTAGCTGGATGGTGTATGATTTCGGAGTAGCGAACTTGTCACTCTTCCTCTTCACAGTGAACTCACAGTGTGCCACATTCGGTAGCTGGATGGTGTATGATTTCGGAGTAGCGAACTTGTCACTCTTCCTCTTCACAGTGAACTCACAGTGTGCCACATTCGGTAGCTGGATGGTGTATGATTTCGGAGTAGCGAACTTGTCACTCTTCCTCTTCACAGTGAACTCACAGTGTGCCACATTCGGTAGCTGGATGGTGTATGACTTCGGAGTAGCGAACTTGTCACTCTTCCTCTTCACAGTGAACTCACAGTGTGCCACATTCGGTAGCTGGATGGTGTATGACTTCGGAGTAGCGAACTTGTCACTCTTCCTCTTCACAGTGAACTCACAGTGTGCCACATTCGGTAGCTGGATGGTGTATGACTTCGGAGTAGCGAACTTGTCACTCTTCCTCTTCACAGTGAACTCACAGCGTGCCACATTCGGTAGCTGGATGGTGTATGACTTCGGAGTAGCGAACTTGTCACTCTTCCTCTTCACAGTGAACTCACAGCGTGCCACATTCGGTAGCTGGATGGTGTATGACTTCGGAGTAGCGAACTTGTCACTCTTCCTCTTCACAGTGAACTCACAGCGTGCCACATTCGGTAGCTGGATGGTGTATGACTTCGGAGTAGCGAACTTGTCACTCTTCCTCTTCACAGTGAACTCACAGTGTGCCACATTCGGTAGCTGGATGGTGTATGATTTCGGAGTAGCGAACTTGTCACTCTTCCTCTTCACAGTGAACTCACAGTGTGCCACATTCGGTAGCTGGATGGTGTATGACTTCGGAGTAGCGAACTTGTCACTCTTCCTCTTCACAGTGAACTCACAGTGTGCCACATTCGGTAGCTGGATGGTGTATGACTTCGGAGTAGCGAACTTGTCACTCTTCCTCTTCACAGTGAACTCACAGCGTGCCACATTCGGTAGCTGGATGGTGTATGACTTCGGAGTAGCGAACTTGTCACTCTTCCTCTTCACAGTGAACTCACAGCGTGCCACATTCGGTAGCTGGATGGTGTATGACTTCGGAGTAGCGAACTTGTCACTCTTCCTCTTCACAGTGAACTCACAGCGTGCCACATTCGGTAGCTGGATGGTGTATGACTTCGGAGTAGCGAACTTGTCACTCTTCCTCTTCACAGTGAACTCACAGTGTGCCACATTCGGTAGCTGGATGGTGTATGATTTCGGAGTAGCGAACTTGTCACTCTTCCTCTTCACAGTGAACTCACAGTGTGCCACATTCGGTAGCTGGATGGTGTATGATTTCGGAGTAGCGAACTTGTCACTCTTCCTCTTCACAGTGAACTCACAGTGTGCCACATTCGGTAGCTGGATGGTGTATGATTTCGGAGTAGCGAACTTGTCACTCTTCCTCTTCACAGTGAACTCACAGTGTGCCACATTCGGTAGCTGGATGGTGTATGATTTCGGAGTAGCGAACTTGTCACTCTTCCTCTTCACAGTGAACTCACAGCGTGCCACATTCGGTAGCTGGATGGTGTATGACTTCGGAGTAGCGAACTTGTCACTCTTCCTCTTCACAGTGAACTCACAGCGTGCCACATTCGGTAGCTGGATGGTGTATGACTTCGGAGTAGCGAACTTGTCACTCTTCCTCTTCACAGTGAACTCACAGCGTGCCACATTCGGTAGCTGGATGGTGTATGACTTCGGAGTAGCGAACTTGTCACTCTTCCTCTTCACAGTGAACTCACAGCGTGCCACATTCGGTAGCTGGATGGTGTATGACTTCGGAGTAGCGAACTTGTCACTCTTCCTCTTCACAGTGAACTCACAGCGTGCCACATTCGGTAGCTGGATGGTGTATGACTTCGGAGTAGCGAACTTGTCACTCTTCCTCTTCACAGTGAACTCACAGCGTGCCACATTCGGTAGCTGGATGGTGTATGACTTCGGAGTAGCGAACTTGTCACTCTTCCTCTTCACAGTGAACTCACAGCGTGCCACATTCGGTAGCTGGATGGTGTATGACTTCGGAGTAGCGAACTTGTCACTCTTCCTCTTCACAGTGAACTCACAGCGTGCCACATTCGGTAGCTGGATGGTGTATGACTTCGGAGTAGCGAACTTGTCACTCTTCCTCTTCACAGTGAACTCACAGCGTGCCACATTCGGTAGCTGGATGGTGTATGACTTCGGAGTAGCGAACTTGTCACTCTTCCTCTTCACAGTGAACTCACAGCGTGCCACATTCGGTAGCTGGATGGTGTATGACTTCGGAGTAGCGAACTTGTCACTCTTCCTCTTCACAGTGAACTCACAGTGTGCCACATTCGGTAGCTGGATGGTGTATGACTTCGGAGTAGCGAACTTGTCACTCTTCCTCTTCACAGTGAACTCACAGTGTGCCACATTCGGTAGCTGGATGGTGTATGACTTCGGAGTAGCGAACTTGTCACTCTTCCTCTTCACAGTGAACTCACAGTGTGCCACATTCGGTAGCTGGATGGTGTATGACTTCGAAGTAGCGAACTTGTCACTCTTCCTCTTCACAGTGAACTCACAGTGTGCCACATTCGGTAGCTGGATGGTGTATGACTTCGGAGTAGCGAACTTGTCACTCTTCCTCTTCACAGTGAACTCACAGCGTGCCACATTCGGTAGCTGGATGGTGTATGACTTCGGAGTAGCGAACTTGTCACTCTTCCTCTTCACAGTGAACTCACAGTGTGCCACATTCGGTAGCTGGATGGTGTATGACTTCGGAGTAGCGAACTTGTCACTCTTCCTCTTCACAGTGAACTCACAGTGTGCCACATTCGGTAGCTGGATGGTGTATGACTTCGGAGTAGCGAACTTGTCACTCTTCCTCTTCACAGTGAACTCACAGTGTGCCACATTCGGTAGCTGGATGGTGTATGATTTCGGAGTAGCGAACTTGTCACTCTTCCTCTTCACAGTGAACTCACAGTGTGCCACATTCGGTAGCTGGATGGTGTATGACTTCGGAGTAGCGAACTTGTCACTCTTCCTCTTCACAGTGAACTCACAGCGTGCCACATTCGGTAGCTGGATGGTGTATGACTTCGGAGTAGCGAACTTGTCACTCTTCCTCTTCACAGTGAACTCACAGCGTGCCACATTCGGTAGCTGGATGGTGTATGACTTCGGAGTAGCGAACTTGTCACTCTTCCTCTTCACAGTGAACTCACAGCGTGCCACATTCGGTAGCTGGATGGTGTATGACTTCGGAGTAGCGAACTTGTCACTCTTCCTCTTCACAGTGAACTCACAGCGTGCCACATTCGGTAGCTGGATGGTGTATGACTTCGGAGTAGCGAACTTGTCACTCTTCCTCTTCACAGTGAACTCACAGTGTGCCACATTCGGTAGCTGGATGGTGTATGACTTCGGAGTAGCGAACTTGTCACTCTTCCTCTTCACAGTGAACTCACAGTGTGCCACATTCGGTAGCTGGATGGTGTATGACTTCGGAGTAGCGAACTTGTCACTCTTCCTCTTCACAGTGAACTCACAGTGTGCCACATTCGGTAGCTGGATGGTGTATGACTTCGGAGTAGCGAACTTGTCACTCTTCCTCTTCACAGTGAACTCACAGTGTGCCACATTCGGTAGCTGGATGGTGTATGATTTCGGAGTAGCGAACTTGTCACTCTTCCTCTTCACAGTGAACTCACAGTGTGCCACATTCGGTAGCTGGATGGTGTATGACTTCGGAGTAGCGAACTTGTCACTCTTCCTCTTCACAGTGAACTCACAGCGTGCCACATTCGGTAGCTGGATGGTGTATGACTTCGGAGTAGCGAACTTGTCACTCTTCCTCTTCACAGTGAACTCACAGCGTGCCACATTCGGTAGCTGGATGGTGTATGACTTCGGAGTAGCGAACTTGTCACTCTTCCTCTTCACAGTGAACTCACAGCGTGCCACATTCGGTAGCTGGATGGTGTATGACTTCGGAGTAGCGAACTTGTCACTCTTCCTCTTCACAGTGAACTCACAGCGTGCCACATTCGGTAGCTGGATGGTGTATGACTTCGGAGTAGCGAACTTGTCACTCTTCCTCTTCACAGTGAACTCACAGTGTGCCACATTCGGTAGCTGGATGGTGTATGACTTCGGAGTAGCGAACTTGTCACTCTTCCTCTTCACAGTGAACTCACAGTGTGCCACATTCGGTAGCTGGATGGTGTATGACTTCGAAGTAGCGAACTTGTCACTCTTCCTCTTCACAGTGAACTCACAGTGTGCCACATTCGGTAGCTGGATGGTGTATGATTTCGGAGTAGCGAACTTGTCACTCTTCCGCTGCACCACGCGTGCTGCCTGCTGCTCCCATGCACTCCCAGCAAGTGCAGCTGCCTGCACCACAGGAAACTTCCCTCCTGTCTTTCTCCTCCTTCCTCTCTCCTCACTCTCCTCTCTCCCCCTCCTCCTCTTTCTCCCGTTGCTCCTATCTTCAGAACTTACTAACTTCTCACTGTCCTCCTCTTCCTCCTCCTCCTCTTCCTCCTCCTCTTCCTCCTCCTCTTCCTCCTCCTCTTCCTCCTCCTCCTCCTCTTCCTCCTCCTCCTCTTCCTCCTCCTCCTCATCAGCCTCCTGCTCTTCCTCCCCTTCGTGAAAGAATCCCTCCTTTCCTCCGTCCTTCTCTCCCCGTTTCCTCCTGCCTCTCTTCCCCCCTTCCCACTCCATGCCGTACGATGCCGCCCACACATCTCCAAGCCTCGTCAGCTGAATCAAATCAAATCTTCCCTCATGTTTCCCTGCCTCAGCTGCCAATTCCTTAGCTGCTTTCTTACCACCGCCTGATTGGCTGTCAAGCCGTGCCTCGTTACAAGCACATGGCGCCGTGCTTATACATGCAAGGCCGGCGATAGGAGCAAGTGCAGTGCCTGCCACGTGGACAGCTGGGATTGGCTGAGAGGCCTGCAGCACATCTACAGGATCTAGGGACCGCGGCAGGATGCTTCTGGGACGCTTTCTCTCGAAGGGGGATGGGATTTCTAGAGGGAGGAGGGCCGGTGTAGATATGAATTGAGGACCTCTCGGTTCTATAGGGTGCTGTAATAGTGAAGATGCTTGTAACGAGGACGCGTGCTTGATATTGTTGCACCCTTTTCCTTTCTTCCTCCTTTGGCCTTCCACCCCTCCCCCTCCTCTCCTTTCCCCCCTCCTCCTCCTCCTCCTCCTCCTCCTCCTCCTCCTCCTCCTCCTCCTCCTCCTCCTCCTCCTCCTCCTCCTCCTCCTCCTCCTCCTCCTCCTCCTGCTCCTCACCCTCCTCTCTGTCTGCTGCTTTGATCATCATGCCCTTCGATACACTCACATCCACACCACCAGCACAGGAGGGGAACGGCGCAGCAGCCACGGCTGCCAAACCTCCCGACAAGGCTCGGAAGAGGTGCGGCGTGCGCCGCTGGGCAGCCTCTGCTGATGCCGTTACTTTTAATGCAGCAGCAGCAATCGCAGAGGGAGAAGGAGAAGAAGGAGGAAGAGGAGGAGAAGGCGCAGTGGTGAGAGCAATAGGGCATGTGATGACTCGGCCTGAACCCAAGGCAGCTGCTGTAAGCATGACCTGCGGTGGGGGTGCTGTAAAGGGGAGAAAGATAGAGAGAGGAGGGCAAGTAGAGTCAGTATATAGAAGAGCATAGGGAGCAAAGTATGCGAGGTTGAAGGGGAGTGGGATAGGAAACGGGAGCGAGGCGGGAATAGGAGTGAGAGTGGGATGGGAGAGAGGCGGGAATGGGAGCGAGGTGGAAATAGGAGTGAGAGTGGGATGGGAGCGAGGCAGGAATGGGAGTGAGGCGGGAATGGGAGCGAGGCGGGAATGGGAGTGAGGCGGGAATGGGAGTGAGAGTGGGTGACTCACCCTTGGCATCGTGAAGAGGAGTGAAGGGAGTGGGAGGTCCGTCCATCCCCATTCTCGAGTGTGACTGCAGCAGCTGTGACGGTATCAAATGTGACTCTGCCGGCGAGCATCCGCCCATGCTGCTGCCCCGTCGCCAGTGATTGGCTGCTCTCCCGGTCCGTCTGTCCCCTTTATAAGATTCTCCGAGGTACTTGAAGTGCAGCAGGCGAGGCGGGTCATCCTCCATCCCATGCTCCCACTGAAAGAAGAAGAAGAAGAAGAAAACAGCACGAAAGTAAACACTTGGATTGAAAACACTGAACTCAAAACCCAATGGGAATATGGCAAGGACGTACTCTCTTACAAGTTGATTTTTGAGGCGCCTCGAAAGTTGCCAAGAGAGACTTTTGAGGCGCCTGAAATCAGAACCCGGGGAATATGGTCTCATTACCATATGAAGTACTCTCTTACAAACCCCAGGGAGTACTTTATAAAGTAGTCTCTTACAAGCTGCCAAGAAAAATGAGCTTTCGGGCTCTATGGTCTCACCTCACAGTCTCACAGCCTCACGGTCTCAATCTCACGGTCTCACAGCCTCACGGTCTCACAGCCTCACGGTCTCACAGCCTCACAGTCTCACAGCCTCCGTCTCAATCTCACGGTCTCACAGCCTCACGGTCTCACAGCCTCACAGTCTCACAGCCTCACGGTCTCAATCTCACGGTCTCACAGCCTCACGGTCTCACAGCCTCACAGTCTCACAGCCTCACGGTCTCAATCTCACGGTCACGTCTCATGGACTCAATCTTACCTGCAGCAGAGGCGCCACTGTGTTGCGAAGGCCAACGAGCATCACCAGGCGACTAGTGCGTGTGTGTGCATACATACATGCACCCATATGCATCTATCTGTAAGGTCACACACACACTCACCTGCAGCAGAGGCGCCACTGTGTTGCGAAGGTCAAAGAGCATCACCAGGCGACTAGCGTACGTGCATACATACATGCATACACCTGACCTGGAAGCACCTCACCTGCAGCAGCGGCGCCACTGTGTTGCGAAGGTCAAACAGCATCACGAGGCGACTAGAAGCCACCGCGAAGCAGCGACTGTCCATCCCATCAGTAAGCCCAAACGCTGATGCTGATACTGATGCTGATGTTGAGACAGGAGAGGAGGAGTTGAAAGACGGTGGGGGGGAGGAGGAGGAGGCAGCGGTAGCGAGGGCACAAAAGGACTGGCGTAGGACGGGAGCGTGGGAGGGGAGCGTGGGAGGGGAGCGTGGGAGGGGAGCGTGGGAGGGGAGCGTGGGAGGGGAGCGTGGGAGGGGAGCGTGGGAGGGGAGCGTGGGAGGGGAGCGTGGGAGGGGAGCGTGGGAGGGGAGCGTGGGAGGGGAGCGTGGGAGGGGAGCGTGGGAGGGGAGCGTGGGAGGGGAGCGTGGGAGGGGAGCGTGGGAGGGGAGCGTGGGAGGGGAGCGTGGGAGGGGAGCGTGGGAGGGGAGCGTGGGAGGGGAGCGTGGGAGGGGAGCGTGGGAGGGGAGCGTGGGAGGGGAGCGTGGGAGGGGAGCGTGGGAGGGGAGCGTGGGAGGGGAGCGTGGGAGGGGAGCGTGGGAGGGGAGCGTGGGAGGGGAGCGTGGGAGGGGAGCGTGGGAGGGGAGCGTGGGAGGGGAGCGTGGGAGGGGAGCGTGGGAGGGGAGCGTGGGAGGGGAGCGTGGGAGGGGAGCGTGGGAGGGGAGCGTGGGAGGGGAGCGTGGGAGGGGAGCGTGGGAGGGGAGCGTGGGAGGGGAGCGTGGGAGGGGAGCGTGGGAGGGGAGCGTGGGAGGGGAGCGTGGGAGGGGAGCGTGGGAGGGGAGCGTGGGAGGGGAGCGTGGGAGGGGAGCGTGGGAGGGGAGCGTGGGAGGGGAGCGTGGGAGGGGAGCGTGGGAGGGGAGCGTGGGAGGGGAGCGTGGGAGGGGAGCGTGGGAGGGGAGCGTGGGAGGGGAGCGTGGGAGGGGAGCGTGGGAGGGGAGCGTGGGAGGGGAGCTGTGAGAAAGTGTAAGAACAACCGATAGTTTCATTAGGAAGGGCATGCGTTTACATAGTTGAGCTAGGATGTAGGAGCCATGCCAACATTATTGGCCCCCACCAATAAGTTGGGTTGAGGAGTTATTGGGGGGACCAATAATGTTGACCAAAAGTGGGTCAACATTATTGGGGGGGCCAATAATCTCCCAACCCAACCTTGGGGGCCCAATAATTGGGCCAAGGTTGGGTTCCAACCTCAAACTAGGGTAAACCCTAGTTGTGCACCCAAACTAAGTTTGGGTGCCTATCTCTAGTCAAAGCTTATATGATGATGCAGGTTACAATGAAGATGGTAATCTGACACAACCCCTTAACCTGCAGAAATCCATAGGCTTTGGAAGAGAGAACGCAACAACCCCTGAATCAGCCACCGCGGGGAGCAAGTCCCTGAAGGCGCAGGAGCGCAGAGTGGTTAGAGCGATGGAGAGCCTTGGTGAAGAGGTCAGCGAGGTTGGCGGACGAGTCGATTTTACGAACAGTGATGTGACCATCTTGCACAAGATCGCGGACAAAGTAGTAGCGGAGTTCGATGTGTTTGGAGCGACCATGAAAGACGGCCTCCTTGGTGAGGTGGATGGTACTATCGTTGTCACACCACAGGGTGGGGCAGGGCTGTGGTGAGCCAAGGTCGGTGAGAAGATAGCTAAGCCAGCGTGCCTCTTGAGCCGCCATGGTGACTGCGTACAGCTCGGCTTCGCAGGAGGAGAGGGCGACGGAGGAGGAGCGAGTGGAGCGCCAGCTGATGAGGCCGCTCCCAAGGGAGAAGCCATATCCTTGAGAACTGCGATGGTCCGGCTGTGCATCCGCCCAAGATGAGTCACTGAAGCCTTGAAGAACAGGTGGGTCCACACCACCAAGCGTGAGGCCATAGTCCTTTGTGCCTTGGAGGTAGCGCAGAACACGCATGGCCGCCTTCCAGTGCTCCTCACCATGCCTGCCAGTGCCAACAAACCGCGCCAGGACACTGACGGGGTATGCAAGGTCGGGACGAGTGCAGACCATGGCGTACATCAGGGCCCCAACGAGTTCTGCATAGGGATGAGGGGAGGTGACAGGAGTGGCTGGAGGGGACAGCCGATGCCCGAATGCAAGTGGTGTGGGGATGGGTTTGGATTTGGACATGCCGAATCTCTCGAGCACCTTCCCGATGTAGAATGACTGAGAGAGGGTGATAGTCTTGGCAGTGAGGTCGCGGGTGATCTCCATGCCAAGGTAGTTGCGGACTTCCCCCAGATCTTTGCAGGCGAGACGTTGCTGCAGCTCATCCTTGACCTCCTGAAGTTCAGCAGCTGTCTCAGCTGCTAGCAGCATGTCGTCGACGTAGACGAGGATGAAGAAGGGTGACGGAGTTAAGCGAAGGAAGAGGCAAGAGGCAGCACGGGAGGGGCGAAAGCCAAGTGCGCGAAGGGTGGATGAGAGTTTGGCGTGCCATTCTCGAGGTGCTTGTTTGAGCCCGTAAACAGGGCGTAGTAGTTTCCAGACGGTGGCAGGGTCGTGAGGAGCGTGGAAGCCCTTGGGACGTTCCAAGAAGATGAGTTCGTGGAGGTCGCCTTGTAAGAAGGCCGTGGTGACATCCATGGAGTGGAGGAGCATCCCGCGTCTGCCAACGAAGTCCAGAAACACGCGAATGACCGGCGGAGTGGCGGTAGGTGAGTAGGTCTCGAAGAAGTCCGAGCCATAAGTCTGTGTAAAGCCTTTCGCCACATACCGAGCCTTGTAGACAGGAGCTTCACCAGGGAGTAGTTTTACTCGGAAGAGCCACCTGCCTTTGACCACGTTGTGCTTGGAGGGGCGAGGGACGTCGAGGAAAGAGCGGTTGTGGATGAAGGCGTTGCATTCCTTGACCATGGCCTCGATCCAGAGAGGTGCGTCAAGACATGCAATTGCTTGCTCGTAGGTGGTGGGTTCGTAGATGGTGGGGGTGTTGGAGAAAAGAAGGACCGTAGTACCAGCCATGGTGCGGACGACAGGGGCGATGGTGGGTGAGAGGAGGTGGAGGAAAAGGAGTTCATCATGAGAGTCTTCATAGAGGTCCGGAGAGAGAGGAGGAGGAAGAGGAGGCGGTGAAGATGCAAGACAGCTGCGCTGGAGGGTCAGGCTGGAGCGGGAACACGGCTGCACTGCTGCTCTGCTGCGCCGAGGGTCGGGGCGAGGAGACAGCTGCAATGCTGCTCTGCTGCGCTGAGTTGCCGTGAGGGGCAGGGAGACGGGAGCGCGGCTGGTGTGAGAACCTGAGGGGCTGGTGCGGGGGAGTGGGGAAGTGCTAGAGTGGTGGAGGAGTGGAATGGATGTGAGAGACTGGAGGGAGAGGTGATTGGACCGTGGGGGACCAAGGATGGGGACTGTGGAGCGGGTGTGAGGGTAGTGACGAAGGAGCAGAGGAGGGGACGAAAGTAAGGGCCGAGATGGTGGAGGGGAAGGGGGCGGAGGAGGAGATGGGGAGGGTGGAGGTTGGGAGAGGGGAGGGGGTGGGGGAAAGTTCAGGGGGGGAGGGGATGGGAGAGGGAGGGGGGGGGGGGGGGTGGGGAGGGAGGGGGGGGGTCAGCGGGGAGAGGGGGAGGGTCAGTGGGGGGAGAGGGAGTTACAGCGGAAGGGGAGGGTGGGGCAGCCGGGTCAAGGATGTCCCCTGAGGAGGTTGGGAGAGAGAGGGGGGGGGAGGGGGTGGGGGTGCGGGTATGACCAGGGTGGGGGGAGGTTGAAGGGGAGGGGTGATGACAGTGTCAGTCCAGAGGAGAGGACGTATGGTGAGGGGGAGGGGGGGGGGGGGGAGGGGGGGGGTGTAGTACGGATTGGCTTCATCAAAAACCACATCCCGACTACGAATGAGACGACCTGAGGGGGGGTGGAGGAAGAGGTAGTCCGGGGAGGTGGGGTTATGACCAATGAAGATGCAAGGGAGGGTGCGGGAGGCAAGTTTCCCAGCTGCACGTGAACGGTCCTCAGGGTGTATGAGAACATACGCCTTGGAGCCCCACACGCGCAGGGGGGAGATGTCGGGTTTAGTGGAGGTCCAGAGTTCGGTGGGAGTAGTGGTGGGCCGTGAGGGATGGGGGTAGAGATTAGTGAGGATGGCGGCGTGGAGGATAGCATAACCCCACAGAGAAGGCGGGCAGGAGGCATGGACCATGAGGCATCGAGCGGTCTTGGTGACCTCCCGAACCCTGCTCTCCGCCACACCATTTTGCTGAGGGGAATGAGGAAGGGTGTAGGTGTGGATAATGCCATGGGTGGAGCAGTAGGAGGAAAGCATCCGGTTAAGGAACTCACCGCCGCCATCGGAATGGAAGCGAGAGACAGGGCGTTTGAAATGGGTGCGTGCTTGTTCAGCCCAGGCAATAATGGCAGCCGGGGCCTCCGCCTTCTTGCGAAGGAGAGAGACAGTGGAGTACCGACTGTGGTCATCTACCAGTATGAGCAGGTAGCGATGACCTTGCCTGGTGGGGGTGGGATTGGGGCCCCAGAGGTCCATGTGGACGAGATCAATGGGTTGGGGAGAGAAGGAGGGATGACTCTTGGGGGGCTTGCTTTAGTTTGCTTTCAACGCAAACTGAGCAGAGGAGGGGAGGGCGACGGGGGGAGAGGGGGGAGGGTGAGGGAAGTCCTTCAAGAAGTTGAGAGGAGACAGATTGACGAAGGGTGGCAAAGTTGGGATGACCCAAGCGATGGTGAAGGAGGACGGCGGGATGGGTAAGGTCACGACAGTGACAGGAGGGGGAGGAGGGAGGGGAGGGGGAGGAGGGAGGGGGAGGGGAGGCAAGAGGAGGGGGGGGGAGGGGAGGAAGGGGGGAAGAAGGGGAGGGGAGGAGGGGGGGGAGAGGGTAGTGAGGGGGAAGGGAGTGAGGGGGAAGTAAGGTGGGAGTGGTGAGTTGGTGGATGGAGGGGCGAGGGTTTGCGGTATGTGTACAGGTTTGTGTGTGGGCAGGAGGAATACGACAGATAAAGCGATCAGTGATGGTGTGAAAGAGGTCGCAGTGAAGTGCATGTCCGGGGAAGATGCGGTGGTGACACCTAACCTTGGGAGGTCACGAAGTGCTACCAGATTGTTGCGTAGGGAGGGGAGTGGGATGTGTTAGACCTGTGACTGTGCCTGAGGGGAAGATGGGGGGGCAGATGAGAGTGGAGGTGTGTCGACTTGTGATGGTGAAGCTGAAGTCGGCTCCGTAAATGGTGGAGGGAGTGGGGAGGGGGACTAGTGTGCCTGCGTCCCGAAGGACAGTGTGTGTAGCGCCGCTGTCAAGAATGAACTCAAGGAGTGTAGAGGAGGAGGAAGAAGCGGAATACTGGAAGGATGTCTCATTAATAGCATGGGCATACATTAAAGAGCAGGAGAAGCAGTGCTAACATGTCCTATGAATCCAGCAGAAGGGAACGGAGTGAAGCCAGGAGGATTGGAGGAGGAGGAGTGGTAGCAGGTGGAGGAAGCACAGGGCCGTATTGAGGAGGTGGATAAGGAGGGTATGGCCAGCCGGTATAGGGCGGAGGATAGTGGGGGGGAGGGGCTTGAGGAGGAGGTGTGGGGAAGGGGGGGAATGGGAGGGGTGGGAGGGGTGGGAGTGGGAGGAGATGAAGGGAGAAGAAGTGTGAACTTGCTGGAGGATATGAGGTGGGAGATGCCACGTGCAAACCACTCATCAGTGAGGGCTTTGAAGCACGTGTCAGTGGTGTGAGTGGTTTGAGCGCAAGGCTGACCTTTGTTGGAGCCATAGCGAATGATGTACTGACACGGGGGAAGGGTACCCGAGGGAGAGGGGTTTTTGCCACGCCCACCACGGCCGCCACCACGACCACCACCGCGTCCACCGCCCGCCCACCACCGCGTCCACCGCCTCGCCCACCACCTCGTCCACCACCGCCACCGCCAGTACCGCTTGAGCCGCTACCTCCGCCGCTGCTGTGGTTGCCTGCGGGAGTTTTGCGAGCCTGGATAGCATTGATGGTGGTGGAGTCACGTTGGATGTCCGCTTCGCTGTCAAGGAGCCAGTCGATTGTGTCAGCCACAGGAGAG